TTGTGGGTGGGGGTTTTGTAGGGGTGGTTTGGGGTGTGTCGATGGCTTTGTTGGGCGGGACTGTGTGTGTGGGGGTGGGTGGGACTGCTCAGGAGGGGTTGGTCCCCCTGCATGGCCCATGGCCCACAGCCCACCCTGAAGCAGCAGCAGCAGCAGCAGCCAACCAAGGTACTGGCATAGCCCCAACCCAGCACCACCTGTGTGATATCGCGCTGCGCCAACCCAGCCCACTCGTGCACACCCTTGGTCAGAACTGAGCCATTTCTGCTGTCACCCAAGATCCCGGCACCACACACAGAGGCCATGCACCCTTGCACTGGGCTGGGTGCTGCCTGCATGAAGCCAGCCCGGCCTGAAGGTGCAGGGACCGGAACTCCCCCAGCGTGATTCAAGACGGACTCAAGGGGAATGCCTCCAAACCTAAGGTTGAGGAGGACCGGGTTAGAGTGCTTCTGGAGGGGCTGGACATGTTCAAATCAGCAGGTCCAGATGCTCTCCACCCCAGGGTGTTGAGGGAGCTAGCAGGGGTTATTGCTGGGACCCTGGTACAGCTTTACAAGCGCTCGTGGTGCTCGGGCCAGGTGCCAGGTGATTGGAAGATAGCCAATGTGGTCCCCATCTTTAAAAATGGGAGAAGGGAGGACCCAGGCAACTATAGGTCTGCCAGTCTTACCTCAATCCTGGGGAAACTCTTTGAGAAAATCATCAAGGAGCACATCTGTGATGGGCTGGCATCGGGGATGATGCTCAAGGGTTCATTAGGGGCAGGTCATGTCAGACCAACCTGATTGCCTCCGTGGATGTAGTCTTTCTGGACTTCAGCAAGGCCTTTGACACTGTCGACCACCCCATCCTCATTAAAAAACTAGACGACTGTGGCATTGATGCCTACAGTCAGATAGATTGCAAATTGGCTGAAGGGTCATACTCAGAGGGTGGTGGTGGACTGGTCATATTCGACCTGGGGGGAAGTGGGCAGCGGACTCCCCCAGGGCTTGGCCCTTGGGCCCGCGCTGTTCAATTTCTTTATCAGCAATTTGGACGACGGGGTGAAAAGCAACCTGTTTAAATTTGCTGATGATACCAACATTTGGGGTGAGGTGGGCACGCTAATAGGTAGGAAAGACTGCAGCAAGACCTGGTTGTAGGGGTGGGCTAACAAAAACAGGATGCGTTTCGATACTGACAAGTGCAGGGTGCTGCACTTGGGCAGTAGTAACCAGCAGCACACTTATAAGATGGGAAACTCCCTTCTTGAGAGCATGGAGGCAGAAAGGGATCTTGGAGTCATTATTGACTCCAAGATGAACATGGGCCGACAATGCGAGGTCACGGTCAGCAGGGCTAACCGGACCTTATCGTGCATCCACAGTTGCATCTCAAGTAGGGCCAAGGAGGTGATCCTCCCCCTCTACACGACACTGGTCAGGCCATAGCTGGAGTAGTGTGTCCAGTTCTGGGCACCCCACTTCAAGAGGAATGTGGACAACATTGAGAGGGTCCAGAGGAGGGCCACCTGCATGATCTGGGGACAGCAGGGCAGACCCTACAATGAGAGGCCACGGGACCTGAACCAGTTCAGCCTTCACAAGAGAAGGCTGAGGGGGCACCTGGTGACCATCTATAAACTTACTAGGGGGGACCAGAAGGGTTTGGGGGAGACCTTGTTTCCCCTAGCGCCCCTTGGGATAACAAGGAATAACAGTCACAAGTTGTTGGAGAGTAGGACAAGTTAGATAAGACATCCATAAGAACTACTTCACAGTTAGGGCAGTTACGATCTGGAACCAACTTCCAAGGGAAGTGGTGCTGGCTCCTATCCTGGGGGTCTTTAAGAAGCGGCTTGATGCCTACCTGACTGGGGACATTTGAGCCCAGTTTTCCTCCTGCCCAGGCAGGGGGTCGGACTTGAAGATCTACAAGGTCCCTTCCGACCCTATTTCTATGATTCTATGAATCTATGAAGGTGTGTGGGGCACATGCAGGCAGTGCCAGGTTGGGCTCTGCCAGCAGCCCAACAGCCACCTTGGCTGCTGCTGCTGTGGGGTGGGCTATGTGCCATGTGGGGGAATCCACCACTCCCAAGCAGGTCCCTACCCCCACAATCGTCTCCACCCCCAGTCCCTGCTTACCTGGGACAGAGACTGGGTCAATTCACTGCTGCAGTCATGCCCTGTCCCTATTTTCCCCAGCACACTGAGGCAGTGTATTAGAGGTAGCCATAGACTCAGCCTCCAGGTGTTGAGTGTGAGGCTTTTTTTCAGGGTGTTTTCTTTTTTGATACCTGGATTTCCTGGTATCAAAATTGGAATCGGCACTGCAAATATGCAGCACGGGGAACATTTTTTCATTCCCAGCATGCCTCTTGTACCATCTCAAACTGCTTTGCAAGGCTGCAACAGGCACATGCTTGCTCATCTGGACAGGCCCTTCAAGTTCCCAGTCTAAGAGTTCTTAGCTTCAGATATTTTTTTCTATATAAAAAAAGTATTTGTAAATTTACAATTTTTATGTTCCAAAATAAAGAACAGGCAAAAATCACAACCAAAATACAATTACATTGCACATACTGCATAAGAGAATTTTTCTTGTTTTTTTTTAATGTAACTATTTTTTATAATGTTAACAGTACCATAAAATGATGAATATGATTGATATCCTGTATCTCTGGTGGATATAGATGATTTGACATTAATCTAAAATCAAATCCATAGAATTACATGAAATTCCAAAGCAGGAACCATTTGATTTGTAGAATAACTAGTTAATAACATTCAGAATTGAAGATATCAGAAGTTTCTGGTTTCCTCCAATATTTTATATCAGCTTCTCCCAAAGGTGTTTTTAACTGTCAAAAGAACTATTTCTTTTTAAAGAAAAAAAAAATGTATTAGAAGGTTAGGGCCCACGTTTGTCAGACTAATTATTGGGAAAATATTTCTAGCATTGTATTACATAGCTCATTAACACAGTAACTGAGAAATATATCTTTATTATTAGAGTTTTTATATTTGTAAAATGTTTTTCTGGGATAACAGTACATTCCAACTGCTTTGTAACTGATGAACTTGACATTCTTGCAGCAAATAACTTCAGTAATTTAGGATCTGGGAGGATAAAGACCATGCCATTAAAAAAGATATACAGATTATTTAAACGATCACTTTGAGATGACAAAAATAAAATAGAAAGTAAGCATCTTATTCATGAATTCTGAATAGTTACACTTAACTCTTTATCGAAAAGAATAGGCAATATATTTGAAAATATAAAGGTTACTTCACTTCTGACTTAATAAAGAAATAAGTTAATGTATTACTTAAGTTGTTTTTAAAGATCACACTGTATTATCTGTATTTTTTTTCATTTATGTCAAAAAAGCCAACTGTGGGAAGCAATAGGAAGATAAAAATAAAGTTAGACCATCTGGATTGCAAAATAAAAGTTTTTATCCTATATTAACTGACAAAAAGAATATTCAATACAATTAGCAAATCCTTTCTACCAGTCTAGCATGACATACTGTCCAATCTGACAATGCAATATTAAAACAAATTTTAACGTCATTAAAAATTAAATACCTGAATTGTTTTTAAACTGTTAATTTCAGTTGAAGCAGTGTTGTGAATGTTTAACTAGACATAGGATTATTTCTTATACAATATTTAGAATAAAAGCAAGGACTTAATATTTTCATTCTTCATGAAGATGCCTTCTGGGATGTATGACATTTGTTGTTACCTGTTTATATGCTTATTGGTCACTTTTTATTTTAAATATACTGCAAATCTAGTGCTTATTGCAAGAAATAGTGATAGTGTTATATTTTCTTTTAAATAATCACTTAATTCAGATTATAGTCATAATTATAAAAACAAGAAAAATTTTCCACAAAATCTTTATACACATACTGTAAAAACCACCTTCCACAAGGACAATTTACATTTCTTATGAATATTTGAAAAATAAATTACAAAGACTTGACTCATCTATTCCTTCTTTTTCTTGAGAAACTATTTTTGTCAATTATATCAACAGGATGTTAATATTTGTAAACATGACATAAAGATTAATGTTACTAAAAATATACGTAGTCTGAGTAACACAGAAAATTCAGTCTGACAAACATGACAAATTGGAACCCATTTTAACTGGCACAAACCAAAGGAAACAGACATTCCATGAAGTTCTAATCCCACAACCTTTTCTAGCTGCACACGGTGCTTCAATATGTTCACCTGAAATCCATAGGACAGTTACCATTTTTAAAGATTATTCATTATATATGAAACTATGAAGGACTGGAGCCTAAATTATCACCTCAGTTAAGACAGACTTATTCCAGACACTGTGCTGGTAGGTATTACTTGTCTAAAAACAAGCACCTGATTTGAACACGCTGGCGTATAGTGTAACATCTTCTGCTCAAGTTGCTGCCATGTAGGGTAAATTATCTCCCCCTAAAGTTGCTGGTCCACAGAGGTTAAGAATCTATTAATGCTACCCAGCAGCTTATGGTTTTAGGTACTAGACCCCTAGACCCCAGGTGCTAGTCCTGCTGATTTGTTATGTCAAGAGCTGTTATAACAGTACTGAAAAATATAAAGTGAACAGCATTTCAAAGCAGCATTGAAGCCAGTGAAACTGCATCAAGTAATATGAGCAGAGAGTTTGGACCTCAGAAGACCAATTTGTTTAGCTAATAAAATAAAAAATGGGAGTACCATGAAATATTCCCAACAAGGTTGTACAACAGAAAATTCAGGACTGCAAATGCCAACCTACTGCTCTGAACAACCTTAAGGACAGCACTAATGTAGACTTTTCACAACTATGTTTGTATATACAGAGTGTTTAGTCATTGAACATGTTCCCTGGCAATCATTCTAATTAAGACTGAATATTAGCGTGCCGATTAAGTGGATTCTTCCAAACTTAAGCAAAAACATAAAATATAAAAATAGATTATTAAGCCACATGCTGACACCAAAATCTCTGGTTATAAAACATACATCCATAGTAGTGTACAGCAAGGTACTATAGTCATTTTAAATAGCCTCTTGCAATAAATAGTACATAAATAGGAAAAACAAATGTTAATTGAAATAAATAAATGTTACTTCTCTTACTGAGCCAAAACTGAAGTTACTAAATAAATATTCCATTCTTTATATATTATATATATGTAATTAATGTGTTATGACTAAGTGAATATGAAAAAGTACAAGGCTCATCTAACAGACTTTATTCAATATCTGATTTGTTGAAGCCTAACTACTACGGTATTACATAATATTAACTCTTACTATAGTGGTTTGCTTTTTTTGCCCATCTTGGATTTTGCATTCACTTTTCTAGCAGCACTCACTGGTTCACCTTTTCTCTGTGGCCTCCATAATTCTCTTGAACCGTCACCAGCTTCATACATAATTTTAATGGGTTGGATGCTGTTTCTGTCATCCTTGGTTTTCTTCAGGACCATTCTACCTTTTTGAAGGGAATGAGGCTTTGTTTCAGGGACATTATATGAAGTGTGCTGACTTCCTCGGCTTCTGAAATAATAATAATAAAAAAATCAGCCTTGTTTTGTATATGCATCAAATGGCCTGATTTTTTAAGAGGTTGTGCGGCATCAATCAATTTTTGGGTGGTAAAAATAGCATTCTTAGAGCTACTGTTCTTTTGCACTGGAGGACGTCATGTAACAACTGCAAATAGGAAGCAGAATTGCAAGCAGAATGGTCATTACCCCATGCAAATAAGAAATAATGTTAATTTCTTTAACAGAAGAAGCGTATGTGCATCATTGCACGCAGTATCAATGAACACGTACTGTCGATGAACATGCTACAATGTTGGTTGATTTAATTAAGGCAGTGATTCTCAACCTTTTTGGACGCGTAGCACCCCTCACTGGATTGGAGGCACCCCTCTATAAACTACTGTGAATTGAGTAGAACCCAAATGCTTACCTCTTTACACAGGGACCAGACAATGGGTGTGGGGGACTGACCAGGCAGGGACACTTATCTGCTTATCTCCTCACACCTCTCAGCAGCCTTCAAAGGCTTTGGTGATATCTCAGTATGTCATGGTACCCCAGTTGAAAATCACTGATTTAAGGTGAAATTTGCTACCTTGCTGAACAAGGCACACCTTGATTTGAAGTTTAAAGGAATGATACAATGCAGAGGATGAATGCTGGCTCTCTGCAAAGGGCATATTTCACCTTGCTTTGAAAACAATGACATTTAATGCTGCAGCAGTGGAGAGAGGATGCTGGGATTCTGGTATTGAAACTGAGCTCTCTGGTTGTTGTAACACCGCAGTCTGCCTTTTATTTTCAAACTGGCAGATAGCCTTCAATGAAATTCAAGTACCTGGCCTCCTGACTAGCTGACTATTGAGAGAAATGTTAGTTTTGAAATTATGCTTTTGGATAATTTATGTTCTGAAAGTTGAGATAAGAGAAGAGAGATTGGTGTGAGAAAAAACATGTCTGCACCATCAAAGGTCTGCTTTAAGGAGCACCACAGTGAAGCACAGCTGCTCCACATTATCCTATGTAGGTGTTATGTAACCACCTCATTGTGGTGCTGGGTGCAAGCCCACTGGTTTGTGCCTACTGACATGCTATAAGGTGGCTATGTTACATCTGCTTCAGTGTATGTTACGTTCGTGGTGAGGACTGGCCATATTTTCACTGTGGTGCTCACTAATGCAGACCTTTGATACAATGAAACCATAAGAGTTTCAGCCAGAAATGAAAACATGTCCGTGTTTGGGGTAACCTTATTGAAATGGATTAATTTGAGTGGTGTTATTTCAGACCGACACCAGTGTAACTGAGAACAGAATCTTGCTGTCTAACTTGAAATTTTAACTTGAACTGAAAATACAAGACTTCCAAGTTTTAGTTAAATACAATTTTGACTATTCCTTTTTACATCACCTTGAGATGTTTTATAGCAATTATTTATAACATAAAAGCAGTTATTTATAATATAAAAATAAATACTATTAATCTAAGGCACCAGTACATCTACCCAAATACTACAATTAAAGCAAAGAACAGCTGGTTTGACATACAAATTTATGTTTAAGGGTTCCCAGAAGGCTACTATTTTCCATATCTTATTGTTTCTGGAATTCTCATAGCATATCTGTAGTACTACTTGTACAGGGACTTAAATGGTATTGCATATTTAATAGAGACCATTTTAAAAAAGCTGCAATTCTTTAAGAGCACAAAATTCAAACCACCACATTCATGGAATTCAAAGCTACATTGCTAACTTAATCACCATTCCCTATCGCAGGCTGCACTTTTCATGTATGAATTTCAGTTTTTAGATCATTAGCTGCAAATATTTGATGTTTTAACATGTCCCAATATTTTGTTTGATGTGAGATCTGCTCTCAAAATGAATGCACAATGGGATTCAATTTAAAACTCTATGATAGCAAGAAGGGCACAGAAAACTACCAGTAAAATAAATCTGTAGAAATAATCCTCTTTTCCTTTAAAGGTTGTTTAGTGTGAAAGCTTGCCCTTAAAAAGAAGCACTGCTGGGACTCTTGGTTTAAGAGCTTACACAGATGGAACTATATATTGCAACCAATTAACTACTGAAGTTAAAAGATATGCTACTCTGTACTTATTAACTATCATGAAGAAGTTAAATAATTTATTCTCAAGACAAGCAGGCTACAGGACTATCCCAACATGTAATTCTAATTAATTTATTACTGTACCAAATAATGTTATTAAAGATAGTATGTAGCATGCCTGAGATTCTCAAAGGAAAATATCTAAAGGAGATTTGTGCCTAAATCTCATTTCAATTAAATGGGAATGTGACACAATGTCTGGACCCTAATTTAATAACAACAGAAAATAAGAAAATGCTAGTTTTGCCTATTACGACGCAAAATACAGAAAATCCAGTGCTGTCATATTTCACAATTTGAGCAAAAGTCTTGTGATGTGGTTTTACTCCTGCTTCCTGGAAGCAAGTGATTGTGACAATCTCAGCTTTCATTTTGAAACACATTTCTAGCCTGCAGGGTTACATAGAGACGTTTTGCATATGTAACCAAAATGAGCCCTGGCGACCACATTCAAAAGTAAACAAAAGAAACACAACTTTTTTACATTTTAAAAATCTCATGATTCTTCACAATAGTCTCATCGTTTTCAAAGACCTGATTAATGACTGTCCCAGGGACGCCAGGACTATGGGGAAACCCTGGCCCAAAACCAAAGAGAAAGAGAGCCCATACTTACCCCTTGCAGGAGCTGGGGGCAGCAGGGGAGCGCATGCCGGGAAACCACCTGCGCGTTTCGTTAGCCGCGCTCGTATCCAGCTGAGACCGGGTGACATCAGTGAGAGACGCCACCCGGAGGGAATAAAGTGCAGCCCTGGGGGCACAGGAGGCGGGCAGCAGAAGACCACGGAGCCCACAGCGAGGCACGAGGTCGGGAGAGTGCACCCGCGGGGTTTGTCTGCCTTGGGCAGGGAAAGCTGCTGTAGCGAGGGAAGCGGTGAAAGCGGCGAGAGCCGCAGCTACAAAGACTCCAGCTGTGGAGCTGACGAGAGAGCCGGTAGGAGACCTGGGGAAGGAACCAGCTGCGGAGACAATGAAAGAGCCGGCAGGGAAGCCAGGGAAGAAGCTGGTGAGAGAGCCGGCAGGGAAGCCGGTGAAAGAACCAGGGGGAGAGCCGGCAGGGGAGCCGGGGGAAGGAACCGGTGGGAGAGCCGGCAGGGAAGCCGGTGAAGGAACCAGAGGGAGAACCGGCAGGGAAGCTGGAGACAGAGCCTGCAGGGGCAACGGGACCTCGGGTCTCGTAGCCCTCAGACTGGAGTCCAGCTTAGGTCACCGAGTCAAGCTGGTCAGGGACTGGGGCAGAGGCAGGGCGGGGCCGGTAAGAAGAAGCTGAGAGATCCGCGGCAGAAGGTGGCGTTTGGCTGGGGTGTAGGGGAGGTTGGAGCCCCGTGAGTGCCCATCGAAGGCGTGACGACCCTGGAAGCTGTGTCGAAGGGGACCCCCACCACTGAAGGTCCATTCAAAGTTGAGGCAGGCGAGTCTTGGGGGTCCACCAACGTCACCCGAGGCACCCTCTGGGGCCCTCTTGCAAGACTGGGGCAAACCCGGTCAGCCACCCGAGCAAAAGCAACTCGGGAACGCCTTTTTGAGCAGAGACGGCACAACGTGGAGCATTGGCCGGGAACATGGAGAACCCTGACCTTGCAGCTTATGCCAACATGCAGGCCGTGGCTATAGGCCCCGCTGATGTCCTCGGACAGAACTTACAGGTTCTAACCCAGATCCTGGACTCGCAGCAGCAAATGCTAGACCGGCAACAAGACTGGCTCCAACACAGTTTGGCGTCCTTCAAAATGCCTCAATTGACCAGGGACGACGACTCGGAGGCTTATATTGAGGCGTTTGAATGGCATGCCCTCATGACCAGGCTCGACAAGAGATATTGGGCCAGCCAGTTGGGAGCCTTAGTAGTTGGCAAGGCTCAGGCCGCCTATCGGGCCCTCTCAAGGGATGACGCCCAAGACTATGAGCACGTGAAGGAAGCCATACTATACAGACTGGAAATTAACCCTGAGCACTACCGTCGCCTGTTCCGGGCCAAGAAAGGACCCGAGGAGAAACGGCCAAAAGTGTTGCTGCAGCTTCTGCGGGATCTACTGGATAAATGGGTAAACCCAGCGGGGCAGGATAGAGAAGCATTGGCAGACCAGATTGTCCTTGAACAGTTTCAGAATGATTTAGAAGAGCGGACGCAACGCTGGGTCCGACAACATACCTCACGGACCTGCGAAGAAGCTCTAAAATTGGCGGAGGCTTTTACTGCCTCAGGGGCCAGCTACCCCAGGGAGAAAAGGAACCTGGGACCCTCGATGGCGGCCCCAAGAGAGCCGGAGCGCCGGCGCCCGCCTGGCCGGGGGGCTACCAGAGATACTGTGTGTTTCCGGTGCAGGCAGAATGGTCATTTTTCTAGGGAGTGCCCGAGCCAGGCAGCGGAACGCTGGATCCCGGCCGACAATTCAAGGGCCCCAGTAAAGAGGCGGAGAGGCCCGGAGCCTGGTGAGCCGATGGACTGCAGTTATGTGGTCGGCGAGGAGAACGTGGCTTGGAGTCGTCCCGTTGTCAAGGCCTGAGTAGAAGGCCGCCCCATGCAAGCTACCCTGGATTCAGGGTGTGCTCAATCTCTTGTGAGGGCAGATTTGGTACAATCACAAGGCCAGCGGAAGGCTCGCCCTGTGAGGGTAGCCTGCCTCCATGGGGACTCCAAGCAAATCGAGCGCCAATGGATCTGCCTATGGGTAATGGAGCACCAGGGAGAACTCCTGGTGGGGGTCGTGCCTCAATTAGCGTGTGAGATGCATCTGGGACGAGACTGGACACCAGTATACAACGCCCTGGATAGGGTGAAGGACACGGAAGTGGCCCATAGGATAATCCAGAACCGGGAGGGCTGGTTGGGTGAGACAGAAGAGAACAAGGAGTCGACGGACAAGACGGATGAGTTAGA